TTTATGGCTGTTGATGCTGACTGCTCCACGAGTATCGAAGTGTATCAGTTTCGCTAATTTCAGCACACTCTGGTTTTATTTCTTTTGGAAGAAGGTAAATAAGGGCTAAAGTATGAAATGGCCGTCATTAATGTCTCGCATTGGTCTTTGTGGGTTATTGAACGAGTGTTGAGTTATGCAATATTCTGTAACACATGCGCGATTTGTTTGTTTATTTGCCAAAGACATTTGCATTTCCGGAATCAACTATGAATCTAGCATTTATTCACAGCTTCAAATATACCTCGTCTTTTGGCATGATGTTTTTCACATGAAGCTGGTCAACGATTCACATAACTTCCCTCAACCTTGTTCCATAAATTTGAATGCATTCCCGTGCATCGGACACCGAAGTGCGTGCGTAAAAGAAGAATGCCTCGATCTAGCCATCTTTGTTCGGACGACAGTCTTCCATTTTATTACGAGTTACAAAAAGTAAGCCCAACATGCAAGAAAACGTAGTACCACGATGTTTCCCTATATCGGTTTACCTTTGCTATGCATAGGTTCATATTAATAGACAAGTCCCATTGTCTAGAATTAGAAACGTAAAATTTCTCATTTCACTTTAATGTCAAATTCCAAAATTCCATCTAGACCAAATAAAATTTTTGTTAGAAGAATAGATATCATTTTTTCCTCTAGACATTTTTGATACACTATGGGGAGTTGCGCTTCAAAGCCTCACAGGAAGCCCGAGCACTTCACAAAAACGCTGCAGGCACGTGGTGAAATCTTGGGAGCAGATTTGAGAGCAATGTTTAACAACCCCGTATACAGCGACATCATCATCACTTGCAAAGACGGTGGGGTTGTGTATGGTAGCAGGTTGCTTTTAGCTGCTCGTTCTGATGTATTTACCCGCATCTTGCTAAATCCCGACAACACCAACACCGACAACAACAACAACAACGACAACGACAACAACAACAACGACAACAACAACAACAACAACAACAACAACACCGCCGATAC